CCAATGAAAGGGACGCTTGTATCGCCGCTCGTTATGGCGTTGGAACGGCCATTGTTTCCTCCTCTTCTTTAGCACTGGACCAACGACTACAATAACAGATCTTGATTTGAAGCTTTCGCAACTGCAGGAATCCATACTCTTTGGTTCTTTCGGCGAAGTCATCACGTGGGTAGAACATTAATAGACCGCGACTTTTTTGGATCGCAAGAAAGCTCTCTCTCTCTCTCTCCCTCACCTGAAGACGGCCGCTTGTGTTGCGATCTACACGACTTCACCGAAAGAACCAAAGAGTATATCAAATAATAATTGTTACTGCTATTGTTAAAATAATTACGCGGTCATAATCGCAATAGATAGTATTATCGTTTGCTTTGCCACGCCCGTTCCGACGTGCTCAGCGCAACGTGGCTATGCTCAAGACGAGCGAGCCGGCGAGAGCCGTGATCATGTTTTAGAATGAAAATGCCCTAAATGCTATCCCTATTTTGACAGGCAACAATGTTCCCGTTATGATTGTTGCTATAAATCCTCGTCATCAAAGTTGATCAATCACCCAGGATCAATCCTTTGTTGGTGTGGTGAAGGGGGCGGATTTGAGACGCCATTGTGGCAGGCAGAGGGATGGTCTCGGACGGACTGGACCTTGTCGATGGGGGCCCAGGACCGATTCAGATCATCGTCACCGGTGTTGGTGGCCGTGAGCGGGAATCAAACTCGGGTCGTAGCTGGGTTCGTAGCTGCTAACCGCTGTGCCACCGCTCCTCACACACATGACCAACACCACCACCACCAACACCAGGCACCATCACTACCACAGCCAACACTGCCACCACCACATCCTAGAATGACAAACGAATTGCTTTTTTGTGTTAAGTTTCTTGTCGCCCCCGCCACATGCACCTCCGATTAGCATGGTTGGTTATGTACGGTGCGAAAGAAGTTAAAACATACATAAACTCATCACACAGAGACCCGTAGACTCACACAAAGACCCGTAGACTCACACAAAGACCCATAGACTCATCACACAGAGACTCATAGACTCACCACACAGAGACCCATAGGCTCACCACACAGCGATCCATAGACTCATCACACAGAGCCATAGACTCATCACACAGAGACCCATAGACTCATCACACGGAGACCCATAGACTCATCACACAAAGACCCGTTGACTTACACAAAGACCCATAGACTCATCACACAGAGACCCATAGACTCATCATACAGAGACCCGTAGACTCACACAAAGACCCATAGACTCATAACTCAGAGACCCGTAGACTCATCACACAGAGACCCATAGACTCACCACACAGAGACCCATAGACTCATCACACAGAGACTCATAGACTCACCACGCAGAGACCCATAGACTCATAACTCAGAGACCCGTAGACTCATCACACAGAGACCCATAGACTCACCACTCAGAGACCCATAGACTCATCACTCAGAGATCCGTAGACTCATCACTCAGAGACCCATAGACTCATCACACAGAGACCCATAGACTCATCACACGGAGACCCATAGACTCACTGTGGCGTGGTGTGTGAGGCATTTTTATTTAAGCTGTGGAGGGAAGAATGAATCTTGTGGCCTAAAATGACGGCCCTTCTGCACATCAGTCACGTGCGATCAGGGGAGGCAGACCCTCACCTGTCATACCCCAATGTAAATAGCTGTTACGAAATATGAAAAAAAATGACAATAATTATTAAGATTTTTCCACTGATCTGTGTTATAAATGTAATTTCTGTACGATTCCAATCGTTTTTCTAATAAGAATAAATCGCCAAATTTGTGGAGCTCCGCTGGGAGAGACGAGAGGTGAGGCAGCGGCGGGCTCAGCCTCCCCTCTGATTGCGCAACCCCTCAGTAACTGGATGGAGCGCGGGCAATAAGCGTGTGCCCGTTGCTGTCTCAGTACGTCACCAATGTAATGTTTGTAGACCCCTTCATTTCATGTCCTCGCCTTCCATACTCCAGGTAACTTCTTTCACGTGTGTGTTTAAAGATGTTGAGGCTCGCTGGTCTCGTCATGAAACTGCAATGAAAAAGCACCGGGGGAGGCAGCTATCACGTCTGCCTCACTGAGGGAGGCGCGTCAGACACGCCCCTCCTCAGTGAGGACACGCCCCCCTCAGCACGTGTGAGACACGCCCCCCCCCCCTCAGTGAGGACACGCCCTCTCTCAGTGAGGACACGCCCCCCCCTCCCTCAGTGTGTGAATCTGACACTAGCCAGTGCCTCCCCCAGCTGTTGACCTCACCGCACGTCACTGCTGCACATTGTGCACAGCCACAGGGGACAAACCAGTTTGGGAACTAGTTTTGAGTGACACCTAAGGGGCCGTCCATAAATGACGTCACGCGATTTTGGACGATTTTTGCTCCTCCCCCCCCCCTCATCACACGGCGTCACAAAAAAGTCAGACCCCCCCTCAAATATGACGTTACAAAGCTCTGCCCACCCCCCAAAACCATATTTCCATTTTGAAAATAAAACATGTTTCAATTCTATATTTATTTAAAGTTGCGCATTTTTACGTGACGTCACATTCCTCAAACCCCCCCTCCCCCGTCACACATCGTCACAAAAATCTGACCCCGCCTCCCCCCCCTAGGCGAGTGACGTCATTTATGGGGCGGGGGTGTGCGTAGTTACCCAGGTGCAGTGTAGAGCCGAGGTATAACTGGCCAGGTGGTTGACCAATCCGGGGAGAGGCAGAACTATAAGAGGCAGGGACCTGGCTCTGATTCAGCAGTTCAGCTGGGACACCAGGGCGAGCTACTACCGCGTGGAAGGAGCAAGCGAGTTCAGGGCTGGGAAAGCTTCACCGTGAGGTAGCCTCTTAGGCACCGGCCACCGTTTCTGTCTGTAGAACAAAGGGGGTTCGTGGAACAGGAAGTCAAAATTAGTCTGGCTTTCATTATCCATCCCCAATGGTCGACCTGTCGAGCTGAGCAACGGCTTGTGCAGCCTATGCAGCCCTGCTCAGCCTAAGTCTGCGACCTTTGAACTCGCGACCTCTGCGCCCTTGCTCTGTTTGTGCCGAGGCCCTCCGAGTTTTCAGGCCTGTGCGGCCCTTGTTCACATGTTGATCATTGTTCATATGTTGATCTTGTTCACGTGTTGATCTTGTTCACGTGTTGATCTTGTTCAGGTGACTTGGCGTTATTTCTTTGGCCTGTAACCCTCTGGGAAATCCTCACACGTTCGTATTGGCGTTATCCTTTGTCAATTCAAAAAACAGTTTCACTTGGTGTCTCTCTGCCTGGACCATTGCCCTCGAATGTGGTTATCTCGATAGGTCCACGGGTTTAAGACCAAAAGCAGCTGGGACTTCTGTGCAACTATGTACTCCGTTTAATATAATGAGATGATTTTTCACATTTGGATCGTGACCGTTTCAGGAGGTGCGGTTGAGGATTAATGTATGTACGTTGTGGGGGGGGGGGTGAAGGACAACAAACTAAACACAAAAAGCAGTTCTTAGTAAATGAGTTGACAATTTATACGTGATGCTGCACGTGACGCTATATGTGTGTGATAACTCACCAACGTGGACCTGGTGCTCTGACGCTATGTGTGACACTGTGCGTGACGCTGTGATGGCTGGGTCATGTAGCCCGCATGCCCAGCCACCGCATGCCGAAACAGCTTTTGTTCGGCCGGATTGAGGGGGCTAAACGGGCGCGGCACGGGCTAGAGAAGAGATGGAGCGATGTGGTACAGGAGGACGTGGAGCTGAGTGTACTTGCCGATGACCGGTACCAGCGGTGTCAAGATCGGCCTCTGTGGAGGAGGAGGCTCGTGAAGGACGCTACTGGGCAGTTGGAGGCAGTCGCCCTCCAACAACAACGCAGGGCGGAGGAGCGACGCTCACAACAACGAGCGGAGCGCCGGGTGGCTAAAGCACAGCAGGTTGGCACAGTAGGGGGCACAGGTGGTGCATCAGCCAGTCATCTCAGTAATCTCAGTCAGTCGACCCGTGGCACCTGCTGGGTCTGCCCCGTGACCTCCTGCCAGCGGGCGTTCGACACTCCACGTGGCCTCAAGGTGCACATGGCCTGGCACAAGCGTCGTGGTGACATCACCGCCACTTAGTGGCGAATGGCGGTTGTTGTTGTTGTTGTTGTTGTACGTTTAACTTCTTTCGCACCGCATGTAGCCAACCGTGCTAAATCCGAGGTGCGGGGGTGGGGAAGGACAACAGACTAAACGCAACAACAACAACAAACTAACGACGGGGCCTCCACTGGAGGAAGCTGTAGACAAAGCAGTCCTCCCTATCTTCAGAGGTTGTGAGTTCTTTTTTTCTTATACGGCCTACCCCATTCGCTTCGAGATAGCCAGATGTTTCGGGAGAGAGGTGGGAAAGTTGCCCAGCACACGTGACCATCACCACACCCAGACACGTGACCTGCAGCTCGAGCTTCTGCTTTCACTGCGGTGGAGCCCAATTATTGGTTCCGGCACCGCCGCGTGGCGTGGACTAGACGCAGAGGCAGTTGAGGAGAGTTAAGAACCTTGCCCATCCACGGTGTCCTCACGTTAGTTGGGGCAGCGGGCCCCTCTCGGCGACTCGGGTTCGATTCCTGCCCACGGCCACCGACACCGGCGACGATCACCTGAACCGGTCTTGGGCCTCCCCTAGGCCGACTCGGCCTCAATGAGTGCCTGGTGCGGTGTGTAGTAAACATCGCCACTAGGGAGACAATGGCGGTCGGGCGTGGTTCTGGCCACGCACTGCCCTCGTGTGCCACGGTGTCGGCCTTCACAGGCGCTGCTCGCTAACAGAACTTGCCCCAACAGTCTGTTACAGGCTATACGGGGCATCTTCGTCTTTGTTTCTTTGTGTGTGTGATTGACATCATTATAACGGTCTGGTTCCGGCTCCGCGTAGCAAATAGCCAGTTGAAAAGCCATCCATGGGACCGTGATGGTGTGGCTCGGATGTTGCGGTGGGGGGGGGAAAAAAAAAAAAATTGCTAGAGTCTCATGGTCTGCATGGGGATGACCCCTCCATCGATGGAACCTCGTCCTTGTGCTGACAGCGACCCCCTCGGCGTGATGTGGCCCGCCGGACCGCTCTGCACAGGCCCAAGTACCCCCATTGTGGGGGCCAACAAGGACATCCCGGGTAGGTCCCCAGCCAATGAAGCCCTGGGTGTCCTATTGATGCCCTGCTCTAGAACGCCCGGTGACGGGGTCAGCTGGGACATCCCGTGCCGACCCCCGGCGAATGATCCCCTTGGAGTCCCCGTGGCGTTTTGCCCTAGAACTCTCTGTGACAGGATCAGCTGGGAAATCCCCAGCAAGCCCCCTTCGAAGGAGCCTCCCGGCGACATCCCCGTGGCCGACGGTGAAGCCACGACGCCGACGTTTGGACCCAGGTGCCCGAGCGTCGCTCGCTCCACGGTGTCCCACGCCGGCCCCAAGGGGGTGCAGGAGGCGGAGGAGGGGGGCAGGTCGAAGGAGTCTGAGGAGGAGCCCGAGGAGGAGGCGAGGAGGCAGCGCGTCTTGACGCAATGGTGCAGCAGGCGGCCCAGGCCGGCGACCCCAGCCAGCAGGAGGATGATGCCCCCAGTGAGGCCCAGGGCCATTGAGCTGACGCCCTGGTCGCACGTGTCTGTGGGTAGGCATTCCACCGTGCCGTTCAGCTTCAGAATGTTGGTGCTGGCACTGGCGTCTGTGGTGGTGGTCGTGGTGGTGGTGGTGGTGATGGCGACGGTACCAAGAGACGGAAGCCAGGCCATGCTGACAGTTTGTTTAGATTTGATGGCGGTGTCGTTGGTGGTGGTGGTGGTGTTGCCACCGCTTCTGCTGGTAGAGGTGTAGACGGTGGCGATGGCGTTGTTGGCGTTGGCGTTGTTGGCGGTGTATCTTTGAGCCGCCATGCCTCCGTCGGTGGGTCACAACGTTTTGTCGGATCCTGCGGGGAGGGAGAGAGAGCGGGCGACATTGGCTGTGGAGAATTTTACCCGCTGTCGCACTTTTCGCGGATGCGATCTCGAAATTCACGGTACGGCGGTTGCCGCGACAACGGTTTCCCGTCACTTTAATGAGTAACGAGCTGCAATTAACGGATCCGCTATCGGCCAGGGCCGTGCTATCCAATGGGCCACTGTAGGCACTGTTCCTAGGGCTCACTCGCTCACCCACCCACCCAACCCGCTCACTCACTGATTCACCACCCCCCACCCCCCACACAACCACCAGGGCCGTATTATCCAATAGGCCACAGTAGGCACTCTGCCTCGGGGCCTACTCACTCACCCAGCCGGCCACTCACTCATTCACCCACTCATCGTCGGCAGTCCCTCAGAGTTCAAGGATGACGTCCATCAGGTGTAGTGGTGGCCGTTGAGGTGTTTGGGGAGTCCGATTTTAGCTCCACAGATCTTCGGCCAGTGAGGGCACACTGTCGAAGATGGAAGTGGAATCCGCAGTGTCGGCTTTGTTTTCTTTTGTTTGTTTTTTGGTTGGCGATCCGCTTCGGCATCAAGACGCCGGGTGTCGAAATGGGCCGCTGCCTTTGTGTATGCAGCTGCACCCCACCCTAGGCGGCCGGCAGCCTGCTGCTCCTCCCAGGCTTGAAGGCCGATCTTCCGCAACTTCAGGGACGACTTGAGGGTTATCTTTGAACTGCTCCCTTTGTCTTCCCCTCGCCTGCTGACCATTGGAGAGCTGTGAGAAAAGGTCGTCTGGCAGGCAAGGTGGCTCTCAGGCATGCAGACCCTCACCTGGGGGCCCCGTGTAGGCTTCACCAGCCACGTGTCCTTCGGGGTCAACCAGAGCTTACCGTGGCCCCCACGGTAGGCTCGTTTCCCCGTGGCACGCAACTCTCACGTCCCGACCCCGTAGGGGCCGGCACTGCACGCAGAGCGTGGCGCCACTCAGCGCTGTCGCCCAGCGCTCACCGAGCCCCCTCCAGGGCCTGCACGGCACCCGCATGCACGGGGCGTCCGCGTCGGCGACGCATCGCAACGCCGTGCCTCGCGAGGGCCGGCATTGCCCGGTGACATCCGCGATGTCGCTACGCATGTGATGTCCGAGATGTGAGTGCAACATCGCGCGCCACGCCCCCCACTAGGGCCAGCACCACACAGTGACATCCGCGATGTCGCTACACCAGTACCACCACCGGCACCACCTCCAAACACCATCAGTATCACCACCACCATAATTACCACCACCGAACACCACCGATATCACCACCACCACTACCAAACACCACCACCACGATCTCCCAGCTATCTACAAACCCCAGCAGCACCACCACCACCAAGCTACCTACAAACCCCAGCACCACCACCACTACCACCACCACCACCACCTCCCAGCTCCCTACAAACCCCACCACCACCACCTCCCAGTTACCTACAAACCCCACCACCACAACCACCACCACCCAGCTACCTACAAACCCCAGCACCACCACCACCTCCCCCCAGCTACCTACAAACCCCAGCACCACCACCACCACCCAGCCACCTACAAACCCCACCACCTCCAGCTACCTACACACCCCAGCACCACCACCACCTCCCCCCAGCTACCTACAAACCCCAGCACCACTACCACCACCTCCCAGCTACCTGCACACCCCAGCACCACCAGCACCACCACCACCACCACGTCCCAGCTACCTACACACCCCAGCACCACCACTACCACCACCTCCCAGCTACTTACAAACCCCAGCACCACCACCACCACCTCCCAGCCATCGACAAACCCCAGCACCACCACCATCTCCCAGCTACCTACAAACCCCACCACCACCACCTCCCAGCTACCTACACACCCCAGCACCACCACCACCACCTCCCAGCCATCGACAAACCCCAGCACCACCACCACGATCTCCCAGCCACCTACAAACCCCAGCACCACTACCACGATCTCCCAGCCACCTACACACCCCAGCAGCAGCACCACCACCACCACCACCACCTCCCAGCTACCCACAAACCCCAGCACCACCACCTCCTAGCTACCCACAAATCCCAGCACCACCACCACCTCCCAGCTACCTGCACACCCCACCACCACCACCTCCCAGCCACCTACAAACCCCACCACCACCAACAACAACAACCGCCATTCGCCACTAAGTGGCGGTGACGTCACCACGACGCTTGTGCCAGGCTATGTGCACCCTGAGGCCACGTGAAGTGTCGAACGCCCGCTGGCAGGAGGTCACGGGGCAGACCCAGATTCCACGGGTCGACTGACTGAGATGACTGGCTGATGCACCACCTGTGCCCCCTACTGTGCCAACCTGCTGTGCTTTAGCCACCCAGCGCTCCGCTCGTTGTTCTGAGCGTCGCTCCTCCGTCCTCCGTTGTTGTTGGAGGGCGACTGCCTCCAACTACCCAGTAGCGTCCTTCACGAGCCTCCTCCACAGAGGCCGATCTTGACACCGCTGGTACCTGTCATCGGCAAGTCCACTCAGCTCCACGTCCTCCTGTACCAGATCACTCCATCTCTTCTCTAGCCCGTGCCGCGCCCGCTTAGCCCCCTCAATCCGGCCAAACAAAAGCTGTTTCGGCATGCGGTGGCTGGGCATGCGGGCTACATGACCCAGCCATCGCAGCCTTGCCTGCCGGAGGAGCTCACCGATGAGACCCTGCCCAGATCTTTCAAGGATTTGTGAGCTCCTCACACAATCCAGTCTGGTTAAACCCAGGATGGATCGTAGGCAGGCCAGCCTAAATGTTTCTAACCGGCGAAGATGTTCCATTAGGGGGGTCCACGTTTCGCAAGCGTAGAGAAGGGAGGGAATGACCGTGGCCGAGAAGACCTGAAGCTTAGTGCGGAGCGACAGACCAGGTAGCTTCCACACAGCGTTACGCAACCGATAAAAATATATTGCCGCTCGACTGATTCGGAGTGAGACCTCTGCTGTTAAACTGGAGCCAGTCATAAGCACACTGCCCAGGTATGGGAAACTCTCCACTCTCTGCACAACTGCCCCATCACCGATTGGGAGTTGTGGGGGTGGAGTGTCCGATGGTACAAAATACCCAGGCAGGTGCTTAGTTTTGGTGGGGCTGATGGTAAGGCCCCACCTCTTAGTGGCACGCTCCAGTCTCAGCAGCAGCGTCTCCAACTCCTCCTCTGACTGAGCAGCTATTACCAAATCATCAGCATACATAACGTGGTTGAGCAATAGGGAGCCATCCCTTGACCGCACCCGGGCATCGATTAGCCTCCCATTATATCTGTACCATATGGAGATTCCCCCGGTACAGCTATTGAAGGCTTCAGGAACTACCACCACCACCACCACCACCACCTCCCAGCTACCTACAAACCCCACCACCACCACCTCCCAGCTACCTACAAACCCCAGCACCACCACTACGATCTCCCAGCTACCTACAAACCCCAGCACCACCACCTCCCAGCCATCGACAAACCCCAGCACCACCACCACGATCTCCCAGCCACCTACAGACCCCAGCACCACTACCACGATCTCCCAGCCACCTACACACCCCAGCAGCACCACCACCACCACCACCTCCCAGCTACCCACAAACCCCAGCACCACCACCTCCCAGCTACCTACAAACCCCACCACCACCACCACCTCCCAGCTGCCTACAAACCCCAGCACCACCACCACCTCCCAGCTACCTACAAACCCCACCACCACCACCTCCCAGCTACCTACACACCCCAGCACCACCACCACCACCACCTCCCAGCCATCGACGAACCCCAGCACCACCACCACGATCTCCCAGCCACCTACAAACCCCAGCACCACTACCACGATCTCCCAGCCACCTACACACCCCAGCAGCACCACCACCACCACCTCCCAGCTACCCACAAACCCCAGCACCACCACCAGCACCACCAGCACCACCACCTCCCAGCTACCCACAAATCCCAGCACCACCACCACCTCCCAGCTACCTACACACCCCACCACCACCACCACCACCTCCCAGCCACCTACAAACCCCACCATCACCACCACCACCTCCCAGCCACCTACAAACCCCACTACCACCACCACCACCTCCCAGCTACCCACAAATCCCAGCACCACCACCACCTCCCAGCTACCTACACACCCCACCACCACCACCACCTCCCAGCCACCTACAAACCCCACCACCACCACCACCACCTCCCAGCTACCTACAAACCCCACCACCACCACCACCACCTCTCAGCCACCTACAAACCCCAGCACCACCACCAGCACCAACTCCCAGCTACCTACACACCCCACCACCACCACCACCTCCCAGCCACCTACAAACCCCACCACCACCACCACCACGATCTCCCAGCTACCTACAAACCCCACCACCACCACCAGCACCACGATCTCCCAGCCACCTACAAACCCCAGCACCACCACCACCAGCTACCTACACACCCCAGCACCACCACCACCACCACCTCCCAGCTACCTACAAATCCCAGCACCACCACCTCCCAGCTACCTACAAACCCCACCACCACCACCTCCCAGCTACCTACAAACCCCACCACCACTACCACCACCACCACCTCCCAGCCACAGACAAACCCCAGCACCACCACCATCTCCCAGTTACCTACAAACCCCAGCACCAGCACCACCACCACCTCCCAGCCACCCACAAACCCCCCCACCACCACCACCACCACGATCTCCCAGCTACCTACAAACCCCAGCACCACCACTACCACCACCACCTCCCAGCCACCTACAAACCCCAGCACCACCACCACCTCCCAGCTACCTACAAACCCCACCACCACCTCCCAGCTACCTACAAACCTCAGCACCACCACCACTACCACCACCTCCCAGCCACCGACAAACCCCAGCACCACCACCACCTCCCAGCTACCTACAAACCCCACCACCACTACCACCACCACCACCTCCCAGCCACAGACAAACCCCAGCACCACCACCA